TTGCTTTGCTTTGTTTTTGCCAAAATGTAAAGATTAAGAGTCTGCAGAATGCTGGTCCTTGGACAGGACTCCTATATTAAACTTCATCCATCCAGGGCTTAGGGACCATCTTGGAAAAGGTGGTAGAAAGATTCTAAGAGCCAGGGAAGAGGTGAATGACCATATGGAAACAGAGTCCTACAAGCTCCTGGGACCCTGCTCATATGATTCTATGGCAATGGTGTCAGCATACACAAGTCCCATGCAAACTCAGGCACACCCAGCATAGAACTGGGAAATGAACAGAAGACCTCAATCTTAGCTGAAGAAATATTGGCAACTGATTACTGCTAGGTGAGGACGAGCTGATCTTCCTAAATCAAGGGACTCTTCAGTGGATGGACTTGCACTGGGGAACAGCTGGGGACACTGACTTGACACAGTGGGCCTTAACAGGGATGACAAAGTATATGGGTGCGGGGGCGGGGGGGATGTGAGGATGCTGGTAGGTATGGAGGTATAAAGATGATTAACATTGTTTGAGATATTCTGTATGAAATACACAAAAACTCAATAAAAACAAAAAATTTTTAAAAGAAATATAGGTTTTTAAAACAACTAACGTTAGGCCAGGCGTGGTGACGCACGCCTTTAATCCCAGCACTTGGGAGGCAGAAGCAGTGGATCTCTGTGAGTTCAAGGCCAGCCCGGTCTACATAGTGAGTTCCAGGACAGCGGGGGCTACAGGGAGGCCCTGTCTTAAAAGACCAAAAAAAAAAATTAATATTAGATTTTGAGGATCATTTGATTTGCTAGATTTTTGAAACCAGGTTAATTCCTCATAACATCCATGTGCTGTCATTAGAAACTGTAGTACCTCAAATTTGCTGATGTCATCTAGGCCAGCTAAAGTTCAAGCTCCCTGAGCCTCAGAGGTGAGACAGGCTCTGACAGTTGTGGAATTAGCACATGGCAGAAACCCACATTTCCTTACTCCAGATCATTACTCTTTCTATCTCAGTACTTCAAAAACCCAAGAAACCATGGCTAGCTGTAATAATCTTGTCCATTTTACCAAAATACAAATGGAACGTCATTGGAGGAAAATGAAAATGCCCTATAGCAGGGAAGCCATCCCGGGTTCATCGTCATCATCAACTCGTAGCCATCATCTCAACAACATGTGGTTAATTGACTGGCTGGTTTGTAAATATCCCTGATTTCACAAATAAACTTCAAGTCATGAGCTCTCTTTGGGGTTAACTTGCTCTCCACATAGGTTAATTTAAATTGCAGTAAAAATTTAGCTTGAAAGGATAATTACAATATTTCACCCCCTTTTATCTCAGGTTATGTAAATGAGGCTTTAATCTTCTCACAGTTCATATTATATTAATATCAAGAATAAAAAGATCTCAAAATATCGTGTACTGTCAATCATCATAGAATACATTCACACAATCATAGTGAGTACAAATTGGACTAATTCCTATAATTGTGTGCTATGTGTATTATCAACAAGCAAGCAGAGGGGTTTATAGCTTGGCAGGGTTCTCAGCCAGGCAGAGTAAATTGCCATTTTTACCAGATTGCATGGCTTTGGGGGCTTTTTGACATTTCTCCAATATCAAGAGTATTTATTGAAAAATGAGAGATAGCCCCAGAGAAGCAAATTCAACTCCTGCCCCCTTTTAACCTACAATTTTCACATCCTGCCAAAGGTAATGAAAGCACCAACCCTGAGTGACAGACCTCGACTGCAGCCTCATCCCCCCACTTCACACCAGAGCTCTTGTGGGAGACTCTGTCATCCACAGTGTTGAATAGTGAAATGTGATGGTCAGAGAAACGTGGCATCATCGTCACATTTAATAAATATCAGGAGGAAGTTGGCAGATAAGCTTTAACCCCAGGGCATTTTTTAAAAAACAATCAAAATACTGTTTTCCATCCACACAGTGGCAACACAAAACAGTGTGTTTATATTAGAGTTGAGAGAGAAAGTGAGAGAGAAAACTAAATTTTTTTCCCTAGTGCCTCAAGGCCAAGCTCAAGGCTAATTCCTCCAGGAAGCTGTTCATGATCATCCCAATTTAAATAATAGCTCCTTCCAGTATATGACTACAAGAAAGTGCAAGGCAATATATAATAACAGTTAACAATCTACATCTATGAGTAGACAGGCTAACTTCCAGTTCCAACACTTCTACTTATGAACTACCAGCATGGAACACACAAGTTATTAAGTCTCACTCTCCTCTACAAAGCACAGGCAGCATCCGCCTTAGTGTGAGACAATCTTTGGGAAAATTAAGATCAAAGTATATGCATGTATGAAGGTGTCACGATTAAACACAGGATTTTGTGCAGTTTATATATGATGATGTTTGTTAGACAAACTGCAATGGAATTTGCAAAGAGCAGCATTTGAATATCTGCAGACTGCCACTGAGGCACATTTGCCAGTTCTCCCTCTGAGTTTTCATGACAATCGTCTGAATGAGCTATGAGCACCAACCATTGTTTTATGAAAAGAAAACCTAAGTTCAGAGACGTTAAATACATAGCCAGCTCTCCAACACACCTTAGGCAAGTCTCAGAGCTACTGTCTGAGTCATAGGATTCTGGGTCTCAATACCACATGCCACACTTTTAAAAATATCAGCACTGGTGTATTCCTGAAAGGCAGTGTCTTCGATCTTCAATAATTTAGTAGACTTGAATAGACGTACACCTTTCTCCTGTGCTCCACTGTTAAGCTTTCCTGAAAGAGTAATCTTTGCTTATTCTTTCTGGGGTTCCCAATGCTTAGCTTAACATTTAATCTCTAATAGGTGATCATGATAGTTCTTAAAGTGCGTTGAAAAAGTTGCAGCTTCCCCATAGGAACTATTGCATTCCATTAAAGAAAGATATCTACTCAAAGAGAAAGGCCCATGAACAAGATTCATGTAAAAAAAAAAAAAAAAAAAAAAAAAAAAAAAAAGCATTAAACGATGAATAGACACAGTCGTGGGTCTCGAGCTGTCAAGTGGAAATGGAGCTGAGATTCTGCCAGAGGCATCTCCAGTCCATCAGTCAGCACACTGTATTGATTATCTTCTGGATGCAAAACTAACCCCATGATATCAGCAGCTGCCAAACAGTGAGGTCAACCTGACTTCTGACATTCTGATGGAACTGTGCAAGTGACAATCTAACCCTAAAGGATGCTTGGAAACCTCTATTTCAAGTTGTTCATAAAAGCTGATAGTTCCACAGCAGCCTGTCTGTCACAGTAATCCCCCTCAAAAAGACGAACTTGTATTTTTTTTTTGTTCCTACCAAGGAAAAGAAGAATTTGGGTGTTAGTTGTCTCTAAAACAAATATTAACAAATATCAGAACTGTGGGGCCCTTCCTGAGAATTTCATTTTGCCTTATTTTTACGTGTTGGCAAAAGTAAATTCTTAAAGTTTTGAATTCATAGACAAGAGAGAAAAATACTGTGACAAGGCTAAAGAACTAATACGTAAAGACGGCTAAATTTCTATATGCAGAAGAATGAACTCGGAGCCCTATGCATACCAATATAGAAAATTAACTCAAAACGTATCATTGACCCAAGTGTCGAAGCTGAGACTGAAACTTCAAAGACAAGATGGAGAAAATGGGCATGACCTTGTACTCTGGCAATGCATTCTTCAACAGGAAAATAAAAGCATAAGCAGCTAAGGGTAAAGGAGGTAAAAAGACTTCCCAGAAATAGACGCTTGCCTACATCAAAGTGAAATGAAAGTGTACAGGAGAGGAGAAAACATTTGCAAATCAGTTATGACATAAAGGTTAAACTTCCAAATGTATTATTCTAAAATACATTAAGAACTCCTACTCACCAACTAAACAGAAACACTGCAATTTTTCAATATATATTTTATTGAATTTCTGTGCATTTCATACATCTTTATCATATTTAGACTCCCTTCCCCATATTCATCCCCTCCCCATAGCCTGCCCACCAGATTTTATACATTCTGTTATATATATTCAGGCCTATCGAGTATCAAGTCAAGTTTGGTTACCAAGATGTCACTCTGTGTGAGTTCATCCACTGGAGCCTATCCAGCATCACTACCCTAAAGAAGATCAACTCTCCCCTCAATCAGCAGTGATCAGCTGCCAATAGCTCTTTAGCTAAGATTGGGGCCTCCTGCCAATGTCCCCAGTTCATGTTGGGTTTTTGTCTAATTGAATTGCATAGGTCTTGTGCATTTTGTCATCATTGCTATAGGTTCATAAGAGCAAAGTCACAGGAACCTATAAGACTCTGTTTCCATAGGGTCATGCATCTCTTCCCTTGGCTCTTACAATCTTTCTGCCCCCTCTTCTGCAATGGTCCCTGAGCCCTGGATGGGTGAAGTTTAATAGGAGTCCTTTCCAGGAACACGCACTCTGCAAACACTGCAGTTTTTAGTATGTGCAAATTACTAGAGTAGACATTTCACCAAAGGAGATAGACAAATATCCCAGAAAAGGGGGAGGGGAGGGGCCCTCAACACTGTCAGTCATTTGGGAAACGTAAATGAAAATCCCAGTCAAGTTTCACTTCACTCTTGCTAGAAATGGTTGTGGTAAGATAGCAAATGGCAAGTGTGTGGCTGCCCACAAAGAAGCCCAAGTGGTGTCAGCTGACCATCATCATCACCCAGTGACAGCCAAGACCTGGCTGCATTAGAAAACAGTTGAGCAGATTCTCAAAAAGCTAAACACAAGGTTGCCTTGTGAGTCAGCAATCGCACTCTACCCAGGCACCCTGATGAACTGAAAACAAGCACTCAAACAGGTGGGTATAAGCTAAGGGTTGCTGAAGCATTGTTCCCATAGCCAAAGGGTAAAAACACCCAAGTGCCCACTGTAAACATCTGCAATGAAATATTATTCAGCTATGTAAAAGAATGAGGTTCCAACATGTGATACAAAATGGAGGAACCTCAGAAACTTTATGCTAAATGAACTCTGCCAGACCCAAAAGAGTAAATGTTTAGCACTCAGAGTGCCTATCTGTTCAACTGGTGGACAAAGGCATGAAAGACAGGTGCCAGAACCCTCTTTCACAGCCAGAACTCATTGTTTAGTATGAGTTTTGATGCATACAAGAAGGAATGTGACAAGGCAGCTCAAAGTCATGGTGTGGAGAGAAAAGAAGGCATAGGAATGAGGCTGCCCCTCCAGGCCTGCGGCGCACCAACTCCCAAGAGACTGAGTCTTTCTGCTGGACCATGTGAGGAACTTTATCACATAAGATGAATATTTACCTGACCATAGCACTTCTGTATTGAGCTCAAAATTCTGCATTTGGCAAATAAGAAAGAAAACAGAGAGCCAAGATGGCGGCACAGCAGGGACAGTGACAGCAACTCTTGGCGTAGGGACTTAAAATATGAGTCTGGGCTTCTTCATTGTATTATTAAGAATACTGATGCTTATGCTGGCCACACCTTTAATCCCAGCACTCTGCCAAGAAGCAGTCAGATCTCCGTGAGATGGAGGCCAGAAAAATCTTGATGCTTCCATACCGACCCAGAATTCTGAACTTAGGATTCGTCAAGTAAAAGGGAAAATAACTGGGAGTCCACGCTGGCCTGGCCACCCATGCACACCAGCAGGGTGGAAGTGGCCTAGTTACCCATACAAATCATCGGAGCCCTGCCAGCCTGGTCCCCATGTGCACTAGAGGGGCAGAGATGCGGCAGCATAGCCACCCATGCACACCATTGGAGCTACACCGACCTGGCTGCCCACAAAGAAGCCCAAGTGGTGTCAGCTGACCATCATCATCACCCAGTGACAGCCAAGACCTGGCTGCAGTCCTCAACAACATTAGGAATCTGAAAAGACTACAGATTTCAGGAAATAAACTAGAGGACAGTGGTATAAAGCTGTCCTGTGAAGCTATGAAGCTTCCCAACTGTCGCTCAGGATCTTGGGTTGGAGGTCTGTGAGCTAATCTGCTGCCTGCTGTGAGGACCTCGCTTCTGCTTTTTTTTAAATTATTTATTTAATAACCACATACTTAGAAGAAGCATTTCATTACATCACCATTGACATTCAATAACAATTTTCTGAGCTAGGCTGCATCTCTTACAAAATTGGCTGTACATTTTTAGGTTTACAGTT